TTCCGCAGGTGCCCACTCAGAGGAGGCAGCAGGGCAGGGGATCTAGGATGCCCACACAATACCCATGGGCCCAATCCGCTAAACAATGTTGAAGTGCTCATTTCTAATTATGAATAACTCTGTGTCCCACAAAGAATTTTAAAACTTTCCCCTACACCAATTAACACTACTTCAAACTATGGTAATTCAGTTTGAACAACAAAAGATTAAACAGCCTCTAATGAAGCAGGTACTGCAGAGTTTTAGTATCCTAGAGTAATTATGAGGAAGTATGGGATATAAATTAACAACAACAGCAATCTGGATTCTGTCCCACAGTTACCTCCTAGATCACTGGTTCTTAACCTTGGGTTACTCAGGAGTTTTGGACTGCAACTCCCAGAAGCCTTCACCACCAGCTGTCCTGACTGGGGTTTCTGGGAGTTGCAGTTCAAAAGCATCCAAGTAACAAAGGTTAAGAACCACTGTCCTAGATGATGATGTTCATAACCTACATTTTAAATTAGGCCATCTTCAGGCTGAAACTGAGGAATTCATGTGCACCATCTAAGACCAAGTTACTTGCACTATTTGTTATCAGAAAATAATGAAGCAAGGTTGCAAATGAATGTCATGAATTGAAAGATTCATCATATCAAAGCTGGATGCTCTACGCCGGCAGATTATATGTGTAGACATAACCAGGTTGTAAAAATCATTTTCCAGTAGTTGCTAAATGTTACAGATTACTCACATCTTCTCTCTGTATTATAAATTCCATCCACCACTAATTTTAGGAAATGAAACCATGATACTCTGCTCAGACACTCAAATTATCTCACATAAATAGTTGGTTTAATAAGCCGGACATTATACTTCTTGATAAGCAACAAAAAAGAGCACATCTTACAGAAATTGGAGTTCAATCAACAAACAACCTTAAAAGTACAGAAAGTACCAACATTGCAAAGTACCAAACATCAAGGCAAATAACAACAGCAGCAGCAACACAAGAATACGGAAATAAGATCAGGTCCTTCTAATGTCAACAACTAGAATAGTTTCAAAATCTTTGGTTATCAATTTAAGGCAATTGGCAATAATGCTTAACTTGCTTCCCAAAATAAAAAAACAACAAAAATGTTTTTACAAACATGCCATCTCACCCACAATTTTTTAGGACATGACCCCTCATGCTTAGGCTTGACTCTGGGTTGTCCCTATGCATCAGCAATGCTGAGAAATAAGAAAATAACAACAATAAAACAAGCATTTGTTCAAAGGAAGACTGAAATTTAAAAGCTCGCTGAATACATGAAATTCCCTACCCAAGCTTTCTCCAAACTGAAGTTGTATAAATACATTTGGATAACAACCCTCATCTTCCTCAATTAGCATGATCATTCTTTGGGCTATTCCTTTGCATCATAAAGCCTATAGCCTTTACGTTAGGACTAACCCAGGAATCTCCTTCTGGGCTGAAATTAATGCTTAGCAAACTTCGAATTACACTACATGAAGTACATTTTCATAAAGCTAATGATAGTATTCCTCAAAGGAAATGAAGCCTTAAAATGATAAGTGCTGGCAGTTGCAGTAATATTTTCCATCCAAAATCCAATAACCTTCCTGGAGAGTAGTATAAAACAAATGCAATAAAATTTTGCATTGCCATATCTTCTTGCATGGGGTCCCAGCTACCCAACTAAGTCTATTTATTTCTTTATTAATTAAAAGATTTCTATTCTGCCCCAATTCTAGACATCTGAAGGCAAGACACAGACAATGAAACAATGTGTAAAAGTATTCACGAAGGCTTTCACAGCCGGGATCTAATGGTTGTTGTGGATTTTTCGGGCTCTTTGGACGTGTTCTGAAGGTTGTTCTTCCTAACATTTCGCCAGTCTCTGTGGCTGGCATCTTGAGAGGACAGCACTCTGTACTCTGGTGTAGTTTGCTTGGGAGTGGAGTATTTATGGCTGTGAGATAGGCTATACACCCACAACAAGACACACTAATCACCTATCTCCTGAATAGGAAAAAAGCCTATCTCACAGCCATAAATACTCCACTCCCAAGCAAACTATACCAGAGTGCAAAGTGCTCTCCTCTGAAGATGCCGGCCACAGAGACTGGCGAAATGTTAGGAAGAACAACCTTCAGAACACAGCCAAAGAGCCCGAAAAACCCACGACAACCAATGTGTAAAAGTTTTATATAATTTTAAACAACTGCTTGAAGTATCAATTTTCTAGAATACTCCATTCCCTTCACTCTACACCATAGCTTATCGTTTTCCACAACAGCCAGTCAGCAATGTACAGTCACTAAGTCTACCTTGAAGGGAAGCTCCTCCTATAGATTTCTCTCTTGCAAATCCTAGGGTTCTCCTAAGGCTACAGATACTTTTGTCTGGTATTCAGAAGGTGCTACATAAGCAGGTCATAAATCAAGATTAATATATAATTGATTATGTGACAGTCTAAATATAGAATTTTCAAAGCCACACAAAAAAAAACTATAGCTGATGTTATTCATTAACGGGTTTTCGAACATTAATTCTCTGTAAGACAATTTAGAACAGGGATAGTCAAAATGTTGTCAGACTACAACTTCATCATCTTAGAACTGCAGAGCTGGAAAAGACCCTATGGATCATCAGATCCATCCCCTATCAGGAAGGCATAGTAGGGAATTGAACTCCCAGCCTCTAAACCACTGAGCTATCCAGCAGTAATCCATCAACCCTAGCCAGCACAAGCAATGGTGAGGAATGATGGAGGTTACAGTCAATAGTATCATGAAATCTGTACTTTGTCCACTTCTGCTTTAGTACTTTCCATTATATAAAACCAGAAACAATACTGTTATGAAGACAATAATCCTCATCTTATCATTTAAATCAACCCCCCACCCCCTGAATGTATCAGACCTTTGAACAGCCCAGAACATAACACCCTTACAGAATCTGCATCTATGAAGGCAAAGTTGTCAGATTTCAAAGCTCTAGCTGTAATCCTCAGGGATACCCTATGTTCACAAGTTTTCAAGCAAGGGAAGTCAAACCTCAGGATGAATGGTTTTGGAGCACATTGACTTTTTTTGTGTTTGAAATGGCTTAAAAGCAGAGCTGGGCAAACATCGGGGGGCGCTCAAGGGCCATTTTACAGGTTTGCTAGTACCCTTGATAAACTCAGTCTCTAGCTGAGAAGGGTATGACCAAATTAGCTAACTTTTTCTTAAATTTCATAAACTAAAATGATTAATTTACCAAAAATTTATTAACTTTTACTTTAATGCAGTATTTATAAGATTATAATAAGGTTGCATTTAATGTGTAGATTTAATTGAGGGTTTTATTATAGTTTTGATAAGTTTGTGTTTTTTAAAAAGAAGCCGTGAATTGCTGCTGTAAACAATAGCTTCTCTCTTCTTAAATGGTTCTGTGTTACCTTCCCAATCAGTTGTGTGGATTTTTTAAAAAAATTGTGAGTTGGTTTGACTCATTTTAAACAAGCTTACTTCTTTTGGTCTAAATATCTGCCTCTTTTTGGCCTTAACAATCTTAAGCGGATAAGAAGTCTTCTATTGCTTTATTAACTTTCTGGTATGTGACTCCCGTCTTTATTGGACTGTTCATTATTTCCAGAAATGTTGTTCCAGGAAGTAAACACAGTGATTGAAGACTTCCTTCTTAATTAAGATGTTTAGGGCAAAGAACAAGCATTTTTAGACAAACATAATAATGTTAAGCTGTAACAACTAAGAAAGTTAAACTAACGCTAACTAAAGATAAAGAATGCTGCAAAAGGGATTAGATGCTGCTGTGGAGCTTGATAGAAAACATAAAAGCTGTGGTTGCAGCAGTGATTCTCTGTTGCTTTCTAAAGAAATTAATTATGAGAGGTCTTGGAGGCTGCAAAAAACTTGAGGCCACCCCTGCTGTAAAACCTGGGGAATCTTCTCCACTAATTCCCATTTCATAATAGTAGTGTACAAAAATGCAACACACAGACAAAAAAAAATCACAC